ATTATAATAGAAATCGATTAACGTGCTCGCTCACTGGATGTCACTTCGCCTCTCTGGCGATCTAACTATTACTATTTAGGACCGAAAATCAATTACGCGGTTTCAGTGCAACAATGACAATTTATTAATTTATTTCATTTATATAATTTTTACTACACATACTATATGTATACCAAGGGTTAATTGTAATATCATTCGAGCAACACTTTGAATATTTTTTTGTGATTACCGTTTATACAGATTTTGAGAATTCCAGAATTTGGAACGCCTTGAGGCCTGTCAGAAGTGTTTGCGTACGAATTTTTCTTAGAAAACTCGATCAAGTTATCATCCACTTCCTCCTCAATTTCAATGTCTAATTCGTCTTCTTCATCGTTTTCTAATGAAGTTTTCTCGATTACTTTTTCTAAAGCAACCTTCGATAAAAATTGTTTTGGTCCTCTCACAACAACTTGTAGGTAGGAACTAATGATGGGTAGTGGGGGGTCGAAATTAAATTTTTTCCGAATTTCGAACATTGCCCAACCATTCGATTATTCGATTCGAAATTTGGTGGTGAAAATTCGATTCAATTCGATTTTTTTCGAATTTTCAAACAAATTGTTTTACTAAAAATTAAAAAGTTTGTTTGTAAGACTTGTAAGAAGACAAAAGTCACAAAGTTCGATTTCAAAAATTCGCAATTTTGGAGCTAAAATTCGATTGAAGTTCGAATCTCGAATATCGAATTTACCCATCCCTACTAGGGACGTTCCGATACCATCAAGGTATGGATACCTACTCAAATGAGTTTATTCAAATCGCTATTTCGATACTACTTATATGAGCGAACCGAATGTATCTATACCTACTTATATCGATAATTTGTCATCTTTTATATGCAACAAGGCGAAAGTAATTTTCATGCGTTATCTGTAACATACCCTTTGCGATACCTGAGTGGAAGTTCGACCTATCTCGGCAGCCAGTTTCAGTGGAGGTATCGAAATGTACATTGGAAGTAATGCGATTACTTAGACAAAAAGGTCAACCTTTGAAAGGTTCCAACAAAACTTTACGGCTACAAAGCATTGCTGGCACTTTGCTGTGGTATCACTAACTTTGCAGAAATATATATATCCACACTTTAGATTTTGGCGATGTCATTGCTCAAAACAATTATATTTCATAAAAATGATGCAATTATTTTCCATAGAAAAATATGGCCGACAAGATATGGCACTTGCGCAAATCGATTCGATACCAAGTAGGCATCGAAACAACGATTCGAGTAAAAAAGTAGTTGGTATCGAAACAAAGGTATCAAGTACATACTCGTATTTACTTGTATCGGAACATTCCTACTTGTAGGTCTTATCGATTTCAGAATCCCGCCGAAGAGTTTGCTTTTTTTCTTGACCGGTGTCTGACAACCATCATTCAAACTCGCAAAAGTTGGGTACAAACAGCATCCTCTTCTGAGATTAGAAGCGAAGGAAAACGGAAGCAAGCAAGAAGTCATAATTCCACTTACCGGTTTTAACCAACAGCTTCGAAAACATTCGAAATTTGGCTGCATTTATGTAAAACAATTGAAACACATCGCTTGTGCTCCAAAAATCTTATATCCATCCATTATTTTATCTCGTGGAAAAAGTGCTAAAAATAGTGCTCTCATATACATAGATCGTTGGCTTTCGGAATATTGACAATTTTTTCAAAAATTTTTAAGCGAAAATATCTCATTTTGCGCCTTCTCATATCTCATCTTCGAGCCATGACACTAAAATGTAAGATTTTTTTTTTTTTAAGTGGAATTCAGCAACTTGTACAGTGAGCGGAACTTATGTCTTACATTACTTCCAAAAATCGATCGCTGGTAGTAATTTCACGACACAACTTCCATGGAACCTATGTGCCGGTTTGGTGAAACTTATGTCCGCGGAAGTTATGTCGAAACCCCGCGGTAACATACATAAAAAAATAAAATATTCCGGCGATGCAGTTGGGTTCGTTTAAAGGTGCTCAATTGAACTGCAAAAAATTTTCCATATTGGAAAAATGCTGACTTATTCCTTTTGGTAATTGATCGATTCATATACACCGGGAAAACTATTAAGCGTAGTTAAATCCTTTTTACTTAGCCATTGAAATTTTTCCATCCCTCTTTGAACTTAGCCCTTTTATTCTGATCGTTCGTGCTCTAGCTTTTATTATCCACTTACGAGTGCTGAATCGGTGTTTTTTAATCAAGCCATACTCATTTATTTACCCATACTTACGACATGACCAAGCCAGCATAGTTGTAATTTTTTTTCGGCCAAAATATTACACTCGAGTTGCACAATGCCGAAACCGGGTTTCTTCCCACCCTAATTTGGCAAGGGATGACGGAAGCTAATGTTCTGAAGATGGCTCCTGAAGAGCAATAGCCACAAGCGATATTAATAGATTCGAGCTTAATCATAAGAATACTGGTGCAGTCGTATTTAGAGCAAAGTTCCAGAAACACTAACAATAACCACACAGGAATTTCTTTGGTTGGTTGGTTGCAGTGGTTTCGAGTCACTTCTAGGATTCAATTAGCGCGTTTTTGCGCTATCTGATTCATTTCTCGCGGCGTTTTTTTGTCTATATACTTCCAATGTCGCTTGGTCGAACCATTCTGATTCTCTAAGGAATCTACCGATTTCGATTATGGTTGCCCCTAATAATAGCGCCACCTGGTATCAGAATATATTATTGCTTTACTCTTATATCCGACTCTATTGCCTATGATTTTACTTCCGCTTGGAAGATGCTTGTATCATTCCCCAATCACAGAGATAGAGAAACACCGAGCTCCTCGGCATATACTTCCTCTCACACACCGAAATCCATCTTGCATCCGTTAGTGTATGTACCTTCTCTATCTGACCCTCCGCCTCTTCTCCCGTCTAATTTGGATTAGAAGAAAATTAGCACGTTACAGCTGAAGCTTAGAAGTACCTTATAGTATGTTGTCCTACCTAATTGCATTTTATTTATAATCTACTCATGTCCGAAGTACCTGGCCCTCGATTTCATAGCCACTTCTTTCGAGTGGATATCGATAAGGATCAGATTGACGATAGCATTTAACGCTTCTATCGGGCAGGACTTACTGCACCTGTTACTATTAGTCCGGACCCCAGATTCTGCTGAAGATTATCGTGTAAGTGTAGTATGCGGTGTAGGCATTCTCACTACGAAATTCGATATTGATTTTCGAATTAAGTTTCCTATCTGGCAGGTTTCTTAAGTAATTTGCGCTGGGGGATAATGTAAGCGTCTTTCCGTCTAGCGACGGTAATCTGAATTCCGGAATTTCTATTTCTATATAGGCTAAGTTCTGCCTTGGCTGGGTTTACACTTAGGCTGCCAATCGCAACCTAGACATGTAGCCTTTGCAGGTCTTTTTCAATTATTATGCTAACGTTTGAAAGGAATAGGCCTGTATCTGCTATTACAACAACATACGCATAAGTCATAACTTTGACATTCCTTCCTTAGGCCCTAAGCCTAACCATGGTAGCGGGCCTTATTTATCGGAATATTTTAGCATCTTTTTTTTTATTTTTTCGCGTATCTTTTCGAAACATTTCAAGTTTATTTTCCGAAACTTTTAAGGTTTTTCGTGTTAAATTTTTCAAAATATTTCAGGATATTTTTGGAAAATTTTAGACACTTTTCGGAATTTGTCGAAAACCTTTTTCGTGTTTTTTGCGGAATATTTTAGTATGTTTTTTATAATTTCCGGTATTTTTGAAGTATTTCAGGTTTGTTTTGCGAAACTTTTAAAGTTTTTCCTATTAAACTTTTTAGAATATTTGAGGAAGTTTTTATTTTAGGTTTGTTTTGCGAAACTTTTAAAGTTTTTCGTATTAAACTTTTTAGAATATTTCAGAAAGTTTTATTTTTCGGAAAACTTTTGGGTTGTTTGTGTTTTATTTTTCGAAACATTTCAGGACCTTTTTTCGGTACATTTCGAGACTATTTAGAAACCTTTCAAGATTTTTTTATTTGTCAGAATATTTCAGGATGTGCTTTAAAAATGTTTGGGCGCTTTTGGGGCTTATCTGGAAGCTTTAAATTTTTTGTGTTTTATTTTTCGGAAAATTTAAGCTATTTTTTTTTGTTTTTTTGGACTCTTCGAAATTTTTTCGAAACTTTTCGGAGATTTTTCAAGACCCTTCGATTCGAGACGTTTTGGGGGTTTTTTGCGGAACTATTTCGAGTAATTTCAAATGTTGTTTAGGAACTTGTTCGGCAGTTTACCAGTTTTTTTTTATTATTTCACCCATTCAGAGTTTGTTTTTGGAAATGTGCGGAGTTTTTTTATGGTTTTTAGAGACTTTTCGAGATTTTTGTTATGATTTTTGGGGAATTTTCCGGTTAAGGTTTATTAGAGATTCTTAACGTTTTCGGGAGTTTTTTGGGAGAGTTCGGGATCTTTAGTGTTTTATTTTTAGAATGTTTTGGGAGTCTTTAAGTGCTTTAAGACACTTTTCAGGACTTTTCTTATGATTTTTCGAGAATTTTCCGGTTAAGATTTTTTAGGTATTCTTCGAATTTGAATTTCCACAGGTATTCGGGATTTTTTTTTTTTTTTTTTTGAGGTTTTTGTTTGACATTTTTTAGGTTACTTCATGACTTTTTCGGGATTTTTTTCTAGAACCTTCAGGCACAAAAATGTATGTAAAATCTTACTTTACTTTATCGAATTGCAAAAACATAAAATTTGAAAATTTAAAATTATCGAGCGAGTGACCCTAACTCTCTCTGTCGACTGGGTCTCATATGGACTAAACCGTGATAATTGACCTGTATCAAAAACCTTAAAGTAAAAACGACACATTTCTTTCGTTTTTGATCGGTGCAAAATATAATTTATGTAAATATATAATTCGATTTTCGAAAACTTCATAAATAAGTTATTTTTAAAATTCAATTTAAGAAATCTACATATATTAATAGCTAACTCTAGCTACATACATAAGAATAACGACGTCAAACATAACCTACTTAATACTACATAAATACATACATTCGAGTATAGAGAAATCTCTGCAATACAAATTAAATATCTTACACGAAAGCGAACTAAATAATAAATAAGCCACTTATTCAGCACACAAGCGCTATAATGTCTAACAGTAAACATTTCTTTTTATCAAATTTAACTTAGGCTCGTATTTCTGCACTAAAATTGCATTTATTTACAAGTGAACTCCTCATAGTTCTCCTCACACACCTCACACTGCACCTGACAGCACCACCTGAACTGACAACGGCACTGTGTGGTGCGGCGTATCTGATGCGTATTGTAGCCACGCCCACAGCACAGTAGATCACAGCTTTGAGGTCCATGCAAGGTACGATTGCAAAGGCGTCCCGTCGTGCCGAGTGTGCCCAGTTGCACACTACGCTCGCAATAATTCGGCGACGCCTGGAGATAGACGAGCTCCATACGCTTCGGTACATGAACATGCTTGCCGAAACGATTCTTCCTGCAACACGTAGATAATGTATATCGATAAAATCACAAGCAAAGCGCAAAATGATCAATGATCGTACGCCCACACAAGCACACACTCACTCCTTCACATTTCTGTTTACTTACTTGCTTAATACTAATCTCAGTCCATGTTTGCCTTTGACGGCTTGCACGAGTTTGGCTTTGTTGTACTTCCGCATGAGCACTTCGCCGACCTGGCGAAACGGTGGCAGACTCTTCCAACACGTCTTCATCACACACGAACCGCTCACGCCATGGCATTTGCAGTCCGTCTTTAGCAGGTTTTTAACTAACTGTGCGAAAAAGTATTTAGATGATAAATTGCATTTGCATCAGAATTACTCACTCCCATATGTATGTATGAATGTACATATATACTAACCTTCCGGCCAACGCGATTATTATGCAGATTCATGAGACTACGCGCATCGCCTTCGATTTCGCGTGCATCAAGAAATTTGCGTGCGAACTTCATACCGAAATCGATGTCGGCCGAACAGCCGCCCCACTTCCAGGGTTGCGTGCCCGACTGCAGTCCACTGGCGTCAAAGTCGGCGCTTGCGCGTCGCACGCTGGTGGGCTTGTGCCGCATATCGCAGCCGCAAAGTGAAATGTTGCCACGCGCACAGGCTGCCGTCACAGAGTGTGCTGCACCGGCACTGGCGATGGCGTAGGTGAAGGCCGCCTCGCGGGAACCTGCAATAAGTTGAAAAATTTATTTTCCCTTGGCTTTACTCATCGCTAAAGAAAGAGCGCCGTGTTTGCAATGGCCTACCGACAAACATGACGTGCGCAAAAACACCTTCTTGCCAAACTTGTGAGCAGTTCCAGCGATGACCGCGAAACTGATGCTGACACTCGTATGCGCCCATCTGATGACCCTCGCCCAATGCGATCAGTGCGTCGGGCGATTCGCTGCACAGTTGGCGTTGTTGTGGCGTTAGGCCTGGTATGCGGGAACAGAGTATGGATGACGTAAAGCTGGATGCTAATCTAACAGAAATAAAACAAAAGGAATGAAATTTTAGTTAGTTGGTTGGAGATTTCAGGTGGCTTCAGGATTTCGTCTGTATATTTACTACATATATAATAATATAAATTAATGTGTTCAGAAAGATCCACTAAAAAAATTTCACAAATTTGTGGTGGTCTGGAAGCGGAGTAAACTTAAGCTAATTATAATGAATCTAATCTAACCCAGACACGAGTTCTTTTGTGGGAACAATTCTATAAAAAATTACACTTATATATATATATAATCAGCCCGAGTGAAGTAAAGAAGTATAAGTTCGGGCGAAACCGATCTACGTAGACTGCCCTCACTCGCTAGTCTCAAAAATTGAGCGATCACTAGAAATAAAGAAATTTTCATTAAGTAGTAGCATTCCTGGATATCACAGGCGCTTTCAACAAGGTCTTCCCGTGTACGATTACCTCGGCTCTGGCGGACATGCGGGTGGAGAAAACTCCGTTTAGGATCATCCACCAATTGCTCATCAAGAGGGTGTTGAGCTCCGAACAGGGGTGGCAGACGATGCATAGGTCACTCCACCCTGGGGGTTGTTCTCTCTCCACTCGTATTGGTAGTGACAGTGAATCAACTGCTGCTGCGCATGTAGGCGGATGGATATGGGGCTGTCGCAGGGAAAATTTCCTCAAACTCCATGTGATAATATGGAAGCAACTCTTTCTTCACTCTTTATTTGGACCAAAAACTGCCTCCTTGAGGTTAACCCAGCTAGCTGCTCTGGAATGGCAACACAACTGAACGCATCAAGAATGCCACCACAGCGCTTTTCAAATGTAAATAGGTGATCGGTGTATGGTGGGGCTTTTCACCCAGGATAGTTAACTGGATTTACAACTGCCATTGTTCGTCTGATTCTGCTTCAGGATCCCTAGTAAGGTGGCCTACCTTATCAAGACAACAGCGCTTAAACAGTTTCAAATGGCACAAAAGAGTGCGGAGCTATGCAAAGCGGAGCTCTTTGCTCTTCCCCTACCGAAGCTCTTAGCGCGATTTACATCTGCCCCCGCTTGATACAGTTGCTCAAGAAATAGCCGCCATTGCAGCCATAAGACTTAGAGAGGTTCCTCAACTCATGGTACATCCGGCCACTCGATATCCTAAGGACCGATACCGGCAATCATATCTTGACCAAAAATTATAAAATTATCATGCCAACCCGAAAAGACTTGGACACCAGGCTTCACCACATATGCAATGCTACAGACATGTACAGTGATGGCTCCAGAGGCGACGGAAAGGTCGGGGGAGGAGTTTTCTCCACGGAGCTGGAACTAGAAACATTTTTAGGGCTTCCCGACCACTGCAGTGTGCATCGGGCGGAGGTGCTGGCTATCTAGCATGCCACTGGGTACCTAATAGATAAGAAGACCCAATGAGAAAATACAGATTTTTAACTTCTCTGCATCATACAAGCAGCGAACGAACGCCGGAGAAATCTCTCTGGGAAACTGCTGGGCTTATATGGCCTTCTTACGATGAAAAATGCTCGTCTATACTCTTAGGGTTAAAACGAACCGAGGTATCTATTCTTACAAGAATTCTTACAGGTCAATCGGACGACATGCCTCGAGATTGAAATAACCGCCACAGACTACTGCCGCAGATGCGACTAGGAAGAGGAGAATGTGCAACACCTTATATGAAAAATCCCAGCACTCCGCAAAAGATGACTAAAGACGTTCGGAAAGCCCTCTCTACAAAACCTTGTGGTAATATCGGAAATCAATATTAGAGCATTATCGAAGTTCGTTATGTTAAGGAATTGGTTTGGTCCCGAGTAAATGTCGCAACAACACAGGTCTTTCCTTGGCCTAACCTAACCTAACCTAAGGGTAATACTTTTACCAAATTTGGTGGGAATTAATAAATAGGTTTTTTAAAAAGCAAGAAAAGTTATCCAAAGTTTAAAAGAACTTCAATTTGTATTATACCAATAAATTTAAGTCAAGTTTTCAGTTTAACAAAAAAATGTATGTTCAATTTTTAATGTCCAAAAATTTATGGCCAGCTTTGAAAATTGATCTAAGTTTTAGACAATTTTTTCAATTTGGAAATCACCACATGTGCAGTTTTCAGTTTATGAAAAACATTTGGTGATCAAAAATGTATGTCCACTTTATAAATTCCTAAAAAGTTATATAATTTTTTTGTAAATTACCAGAAAAATATGGATATTTATTGACAATATTTTAAATAAACAAATTTTATAACTACTTTGTTGATTAACAAAAACCTATTCCCTCTTTTATTTGCAAGCATCCATCCAAATATGTATAACCAAACCTCTTAAAAGAAATTTATGTCCAGTTTTTAAACAAAAATATATGTCCAGTTGATTTATACCCAAAATAGTGTAAGCGGTTTGTAAAATACCAGAAAGTTTATGTCGGGCTTTCAGTTTCTCAAAAGCTTTTGTCCACATTTTTTATGGCCAAAAATTTATTTCCTGTTGTAAAGTTTTCAAAAAAGTTATGTTAAATTTTTGTTAACCAAACTTTATAATTGTTTTTTAAATTACCAAAAATGTATGCCCACTTATTATATTCAAGCTTTCATATCCAATTCAATATTCTAACATTCCGTAGGACACACACAGGTTATCACTGGTCAACGCAAAATTCCAAAAAATTTCAATTTCACTTCGTAAGACCAAGGTTCGATCCCTGCACAAAGCAATACCCCAAAAAAAAAGGCACAAAAAAGAGGTTTTTTGCTAAACAGCGGTAGCCCCTCGGTAAGTTGCAATACTCCTCAGCGATTTTTGACCCATAATTATAACTCATTGTCATGTTTTCGACATAATAGAGACAAGTAGTGAAACTATATGAACAGGTTGCTCCTAATAGTACATGTTTGATATCGTAAACATCCAAGGAAATTGTACACCTACGCTTTGCAAAATTAGCAGCTTGCCTTAATCAAACAGAACATAAATTGCACAGTGGCTCACGGCAAATAATTATAATTACAAAAATATATATATATGCCAAATAAGCTATAATTTTGCTTTATAAATGTCAGATATAATGCATACTACCACACTTATATATGTACATACATACCTGCATATTTTTATATGCGAGTATCTTACTCACGAACTCATTTGTGTAACATTTATTTATTTAGAAAGATTAATGTACCAACACGAAAATGTTGCAAAAGGCGTCTGGTTCTATATGATTAAATGTAATTACATTAATCTAAGCCGCTAATCTGTGTGTTTACAAAATGTGTATATGTACATATATACACATACTTACATATGCACTATATGTGTTTATAAATGTTGATATACACCCCCAATGTACGTAAGTATGTATGTATATATATTTAATTTGAATATGCGCACACATGAGCTTGCCGCCAAATCACTGATTGTTTTACAAAACGTTATGATTGGCTTTAAAAAAGTAATTTTCCAAGGCATCTTAGCCAATCTGACAGCAAATAAATCAAAGCGACCGTATTGATTGCCAATATTCAAAAGAGTTTATATATGTACATATATCGGGATGTATATCCCACATGTTCACGACTATATACTACATATAGACGTTTATACCTCATTAAGCTGGCATTTTGACTGAATATCTCCCAAGATTGTTTTGCTTTGTCGCCATTGCCGCTTTTCAAATTATTGCTAAAATACGCGGGCAGCTTAATTGCATAGCTTTGGTTGAATTTATTTTTATTAAATATTTAAATCAACGTGACGTTTGGAACAGTTTTGCGCCATTTTATTTCCAATTCAATTAGTTTTATTGTGATACAATGTGATCAGTTCTTACCAGTAAGGTAATGGGGGGATTTATGAAAAATAATGACATTGAGAGTGACTTCGACAATGCAAACTTCACGCCACTACATACAACTAGCGCTTTCAAAAAGCGCTTTCAAAAAGCAAAAGTTGTAAAATGGAGCACCAACATGTTGAACAATATACGGATCCATAGCAGGCCTACATAGGTCATGAGGTGTTGGTCAGCAATACAGTGAGAGGCTGTCCACAAGAAGTAGCCATATCTTCCCTAATTTGAAATATGCAAATAGATGGCCGACAAATGTATGTATGTATGTGTGTAGTTCAGGCTCTGAACGCCAGAGGCTACAGAAGCATAGCCCATGCGGAAGTCATCTCCGTAATTCCTTTCAATGGCAATAACATTGTTCGGGGGAATAGATGAAATCAAGTTTTTCTGATAGTCTGGATTATAAAGAGAAAAGAAATTTCTCATTTTGGCGATTTTAAGAGTTTTTTTTCAATTGAAGTTGGTGGGCGCAAAGCAGCATTAAAACAATTGAAATTGATGTAAATGAAAATATTTATACTATGAAAAGGCATTTGGGAAGGTTTTGTAGTGCGAGGAATCTAAATTTCCAATTTAGTTTTAGCAAAAACGGCCGATGGGTACACTTTAGAAGATGAAGAAAAGTTGCTTAGCAACATTGTTGAGAAACATTGTTTGCACTTTTCCTTCATGTTACTGCCATATTTCTTTGCATCAAAGCGCACCCTGCGGTCGTTATTGCTAAAAGTAAATATAATCCAGACTTTCAGAAATTCCCCTGAAAAAATCCGAATATGTCGTTGATGCGGGATACCCTCTGCATAATTTGGTTCTGATGCAGGCAGGAAGGGCTGTCGATAAACTCCAATAAGACCACTATAGGTTCTTTCACCACGTGAAGCATAAAAAATTGTCACTCAGTTAAAATTAATGACACTAAGATAACCTCGGTATATAGCACAAAACAGCTGCTAATCAAAACATGGCCCTTGCACAACGCGGGCCAGGAGAACGACCCATAAAGCAGGCACGGCAACGCTCCATTTAGTATTCAAGAGGAAGCGACAACTAAGGCACACATGCTAAATAGAAGTGATAACATCAAGGAACACCACCTAACAGTTCATCTTGAAAACTAAAAAGGTTTGAACATTTTAATCGCCAAATCTTCAGGCTTAAGCTT